TGCCTAATACACATATATGCACATGTATGAATATGTAATTATAGACATACAGTTATAGATATATTTCTATATATAAAATCTCAGCCTGCTTTTCAGTATTAAATGAAATTTGTTGCCTGCAGAAACAGATGTATGTCACAGGATCAAAAAATAGAGCAAATATTTAAATTAAAAATATTACTACAATAAAAGAGACATTGCCACTAAGTACTCCTCCTTGCTTTTTTTTAATGCAGAAATAGCTATGACCTTTTCAATAAAATTTTCTCAGGGTATCCCACGTGAAAGGTGAAGGTATAACATAAAATCTGACTCAGAAGAGGCTCTTCTATAGATGGTTCCGGGGGGAAAAAAAAAAAAAGGATTCAAGTAAGTGACATTTTGCCAATGCACTGTGATTGAAGAAGAAACCTTGAAGCAGTATCTTTCAAAAACAGTTCACAGATCCAACAGCAGAATGACCAGGGAGTGCTCATAGAAAGCACACGTTCTCCAGATCCACAGAGGAGGAATCTCCGGGGAGTTAGCCTGTGAAATTTGTACCATTTCCAAGTTCCCTAGATGATTCTTAAATTCCTTGAGAGCCAGAGAACCTCTGCCCTCCTACAGCAGTGGTCTCTAGGCGTTTTGCTTGTGTGTTCTGAAAGAATTTTGAAAAAGCAGGTATCACGGGTTTTAGTTTGACATCTAAAATTTTCATTCTAATTTTAGATGAGCATAAAAATAGATGTTCTGGTATCACAATATTAACATTTTCAAATAAATTTTCATATCACTCTAAAATGTATTCAATGACTCTAAATGCTCATATCTGATGAAATCTATGAACTTCAGCAAGTCAAAGTTTTTATATTTCTTTTTTCTCCTTGAACTTATATTTTTTTCACTTCACCAACAGAATTCTATTTTAATAAAATGTGTTTTATGCTTGAAGTCTTTTCTGAACACCCTATCATACTTTTTTACAAAATAAGTGCATATCTATATTGAAATTTTATTTTTCTTCAAGTGATCACATGGGCTAAGTTTTAAAATCTCTTTAGAATCAAATTAGTGTTATAATCATTAACACTACACAACTGACAAAAGTATTTGTATTGTATACAATTTACAAGCATTTTTAAGTAGAACAATTTTTTGGAAATAACTTTATTAATTTAATGGATTAGTTACTTTAGTTTCTGTGCTCAAAGGTGATTATTACTTCTTGTTGGAATAAAACAGTCTTTCAGAATCAATTTTATCCATATATTATATATAACACTCATGGAAAAAACTTGTTTACACAAATAAGTAGATTGGAATGAAAGATATTTTGTTACAGCAATGTTACACAAATCTTTAAAACTTCTTCTAAATTGTAGGCCAAAATTCATATTGTAATTTATTATAAAATTTTAATTAGAATAAATTTAACTGAACAATTTGACTAGGTCTTCTTTCAATTTTGTTGAAAGAAAAAAATTGGACCACTGGTCCACACAAAAGAATTTGTAATTGAGTCAGTAACAATTCTTCACTCTCTTTATCCCCAACACCAACATTTTGGTGAGTTTAATGCCCTCAGAAATTTTACATTCCCCTAAAGCAAGACACTGAAGATTTCAGATGATAAAAATATATTACACTATTTCAATAAATGAGAAAAGGTGATTGAGAAATGGGAGGTACCAAGGAACAAAAAGGAATTCTCGGGCAGATCCATTTTAGTAAACAGTACTTGTGGAAATTGAGGACTTGGGAAAAGTCTGTGAAAACTACCCTTGCTTGCTTCTGTCTGTCTTGAAGTATTTGTGAAAGTTCACATACCTCCATTTGAAGACCAGTATTGGGATTCATTAAGAGGGTGCATTACTTTAAAAAAAGAAAATAAAAGATCTCCAAGAAAATTTAAGAGTCCCCAAATTTATCTCAAGCCTCTCAAGACCTTGGGTTCTCTCCAAAAGTAGGTACAGACTAGGCTGGTACAGACTAGGTTGGGACAGCAAAAGCAAGGATTAAAAGAAATGAGATGACAAAATGGTCATAAGGAAGCAAAAGGAGGGCTGAGGGATATAGCTCAATGGCATGAGCACCTGCCCAACAAGTGCAAGGTCCTGAGCTCAATCCCTGGTACGAAAAAAGAAAACAAAGGGAGACATGAATGATCTTTAAGAGTCAAGAGCCTTTTAGTATTATGATTTTGCCAGTACTTCTAGATTTTAGTTAACATAATTCTTATAATTCCCTCAAGCTCAGACTGGCTATGAGTCAAAAAGCACCAGAACTTCCCAGGTTTCCTCCATGAAGATTGAAGAATTCTGTAATTTTGTTGCACTCCAGAGCTAAAGGAAGTAAGAATATGAATTCTCTCTCTCTTTTTTTTTCTCTCTCTCCTAATATGAAAATAATTGACTCTACTCTTAGAGACCTGGCTTAATTAGACTACTCTGATTTTCTGCTGGCAAAACTAACACTAAAATGGTATTGCTCTGAGTTCTCTAATTATAGAGCAATCACATTTTTTTCTTAACAGATACTAAAACCAAATGCTATAATGTTGGATGAGGTCATTGTGAATAACTTGGTGTAAGGCCTATTTTGAGGTATCACATGAATTTCAGTGAATTTTATGCAATGACAAGAAGAAACAGATTCAAAGTTTACTGTAGAAAAAAATTACAAATTACTACTATAACTTATCACTGTAGTGATTAATTTCCACAAATTATTTCCTCAGAAGTATGTTCACTGACTAGAACCTCTATTCTTTCATCCCCTCACTCCTCAATTTCAGTACCTACCCAATGTCTCTTTTTAGACAATTCCCTCTTCCATTTGCTTCCGGATGCAGCTTAAACACTCTGATCAACCTTTTGATGGATACTCTCACCAGTACGCTCAGCCCCCTTACTCCCTTGAACTTTCTGCCTGTCTTTTCTGCCAAGTCCCAGCCTGGAGTCAACCAACCATCTGTTCTCCCAATTACTGTTTTTAGTTTGCCAACTACTGCTGGAGAAAATTGTATAACTTCTGATTCAGAACATGATAAATCACCAATCTGTAAACTCATATTGACCCTTAGCACTCCATGGCAATCCTTTCTCTCTTGCTTGATTGACTTCCTTTGCCACGACTCAGGTGCAATTCCCAATTTCAAGTCATTGCTCCTCTGAGGTTTTGTACTTTCCCAATCAACAGATGGCCTAACATTTTCCTTCAGGAAAAATTAGTGTTCCACTTTCCTCCTTGCCACTGCTAATGGTCATCTGCAGCTTCACCCTGCCTTCTCCCTGTACCCAAGAATAATGTTGTACATCAATTACTCCCTCTCAATACTACTGAGTTTTCAAAAGTTCTTCACCACAATGTCTATGTACATCTTATTACTATAAGGCAAATATTCTCCTTGGAAACTATATTCCATATATATATGAAGAAATATACATTGGAATATTAGAAAATAAAAACTGCTGATTATAGAAAAGACCACATAAGATTAGCAAGTGTTCATCCTCTTTGAATCATTTTCGAGCAAGGACAAAAAGGAAGGTGAGTTGGTATGCTGCCTGCCCATTAAATCTTTTAAAATTCCTTCGTAGTTCTGTCTGCCAAATGTCACAACATGAAATTTAAAGAGGCTATGCTTTAGTGATCAATGTCATTTTTGTCCTCTACTGTTTGCTACCACCTGTCATATGTGCAGTATGAGATGCTATTAATAATAATTAGCCTACCCAGTGCTTCCTTTCAGCTGTGAGGAGTTTGCTCACCTTCATTCAATCTAAACTTTTCATGGATATTCCTAGAAAAAGCAATATGAAGTTATGGTTGATCTGTTATGGCTTTTCTAATTTAAAACGGTATTCACTAGGTATCACACAAAACATTCAGTGACAAATGTATGCTATAGTGAAAGTTTTTGTAGAGACTGTCTGCAAAGAGGCTTTGCTGCATAAGATAATTAGTACAGGTGTGTATCTAAGGGCAGGTCCAGATTTTGTGGGACTTGATTGAATTTGGGGAAGTCTCTCTTTGTAAAAAAAAAAAAAAAAAAAAAAAAAAAAATATATATATATATATATATATATATATATATATACACACACACATACACAAAATTATAAGTACAAAAGGAACTTCAGCGCCTTTGGGAAAGATCTTAAAAATGAAGGGCTCTGAATTTACACTTCATCAGCTTCTGCAAACATAGCTTTTTTGAATCTGACCATTTAATTGGGGACATAGAACAAACCTGAACCAACCAAAAATGCACTAAATATGAATACCAAACATGAATCAGGCATCACTGTAATACTGAACCGACAAGTTTGTTGTGAGCAGAAGTGAAATAGATAAAGTGGCTGTTTTCTCAGAATACAAAGGGTTTAAGTTACTCTGAAGAACCCCTCTGGAAGACGGCTGGGAAATGCTCAATCCATATTTGATATTGATATGACACTTCACATTTGATACTTTCCCTGAAAATGCTGCCTTCAAAGCTTACTTAAAGGACACACACACACACACACACACACACACACACACACACACACAAATAAATGTATAATTGTATTCTCTCCCACTGGCATAGACATGGAGGATATACATAAAGATGGGATACCTTAGGGTTCATAAGACGTGTGATTCTATAAAAAGAGGAAAATGAAAAATTAGAATCTGTAGGGAAGCCTACATTACAGCCTTGTGGGGAAAGAGTCCAGCTATGGAAGAACATATTCATAGAATGATACATCTAATGTGTCATCTTGCTACATGTCCAATGTCCTTTTACTATGACATTAGGACACATCAAGTTTTAAACATAGGAAAATAATGACAATGGCTCATATGTTACATTACTTTATTTTATTCATACCCTTGGCCAGTTTGGCTTCTATCATTTTTTAAATATCTCTTAGAATTATCTTCTCCTCCTAATAACCACCCCCCACACAGACCAAAAAAACTTGTGCTGTGTCTATTTATCTTTTCCTCACTCAGAATTCGGTACTTCACACAGATAGGCATTCTGTAGAGATCTGTTGCCATGGTGTCGATGAGTTATTTTTGATAGGTCACCATTTTTTTTCACACAATAGGAATTCCATAATGGAGATGCACTGATCTTCTGTCCTATTCAAAGACTTCAGAACAACACTGCAGTAGACAAAAGCTCACACAAGAGCTGGTCAGATATAGCTAAGTATTTTTCAGTCAACAATCACTGCTGCTACTTAACAAGACCTGTTGATTTTGTAGGCTTAGGACTATTGTGACATCAAGCTGTAGCTAAAATCAGTCCAATGCAACAAGAGTTTCAAGAACATCAGCACAAAAATGATGTCTTAACTGAATAGGCAAGACATATCTTTTCAAGAAAGCCTCTTAATTCTTGGAGTAGAAGATTCTCTTCAAGATGACAAGTGGTGCACACCCTTCAGGATCTTTTGTGCCCTCAAAAAGGTGAGTCTTTAGTGGAGAGAGAAAGGGTCTTTCTTAACCTAGGGTAATGGCAGAGATGTTATGGTGTCTCTTCCCACAGAAGCTCCAAAATAGACAACTACTTGAAGGAACTAAGTGAGGACTTAAGGATAAGGAAGCAGGAACTTCTGGAGATGCTAAAGCCTCTAGAAGACAAGAACAGCCTCTTATTCCAGAAGTTAATGTCTAACTTGGAGGAAAAGCAAAGAAGGTAAGGGCTCCCTATTCAGGTATCCTAGAGACTGAAAGACTGGAGAAGTTAATTTCCACAGGTTTAGGAAAGATATTTACATTGTTTTGGTTTTACTTTTGAATATTGAGTTCCAGTAGAATATAAAGAATCTATAATACAAAATCAGGATGAAAAGGAATCCTTCACATTTTTTTTAATTACACATGACTCAGCCCTCATGTCATGAGTCTAGAGTTGTTAATTCTTTACCCCCTGCAAAGAAACAGGTGAGAGCCTTTAATAACTTTGGCCTATCATGGTCACTGATAGCTTCTGCCTTTACACTTGTAGAATCACTTTAGGATAAATGACTTTGATCTTTCTATTCTACTCAGTAGCAGAGTGAATTTTTCTAAGCCTAGGAGCTGTCTGGATTTGACCCTAGCCTCCTGTAATCATGTGAGGCTGCTGAGGTCCCAACTGTTTGCCAGAATAGTTACTGCTCTTGGGATCCATCAACTCCCTGTTTCCTTTCCAGTCTCAGAAAATCTCACCTCAGCTGGTATACCTTGTTTACATAGGCTTATCATAAGTAACTAAAGGAATTCAGACCATTGGAGAACATAAGCCGGGCAACAAGTTGAGTCTAGCACCAGCTACTTGCAACTAGAAGCACAGACTTCTCTCAGGGCAAGAACACAAAGGCCTGGCTTTCTGCTTAGACCTGGAGGGGAAACAGGACAAGGAACACAAATATAAATGAATTAATGGCTATAAAGAATGTCCTCTTTCACAAAGACTTTACACGGTTTCAGATTTTGTTAGGAACTCCTTGATGGTTCTATTCTCTGGAGACTACCAAAGAGAAACATGATTTCCCCAACAAAATCAAGTATCTGTTTGGAGACTCAAGGGGGTAGGAGAAGGTGGACAGAGATAGTATAGGGAATAAATCTAAGATTTCTCCTGAAACCATCAGATTTTTTAACTGCCTCCTTTACAGAGGAGAATCACTCATTTCTCCCCAAGTCATACAACAAAATATTCTTTGAAGGGGCAGAAAGGAATTTCACTGGCTGTTGGAGACCTAAGTTTTGAGCATCAAAAAGCACAGAATTCATTCTTGGACATTTAGTGACGGCAAACGTGAATTAGGAGTGGAGTTGTCCTAGTTATAGCAACCTTCTACATCCAGAAAAACTTCCATAACTGCTGAGATTTCAGCCCCCACCTAATTCCCATGGTCGAGTACTTTCTGACTGACTCTGAAAATTTATATTAACCTTAGAAGGTGTTTATGTTTTACACTACCTTTCTTCAGCCTGCAGATCATGAGGCAGATCATGGCAGGGAAGGAGTGTGATGAATCCTCAGTCGTGGAGCTCATTCAGGAAGCAGAGGAGATGAAACAGAACCTGGTAAGAGGTCGGTAGGTACTCCTGAACAGGGTTCAATTCCACTGCTGGTGACAGAAGCACAAGGGAAGACAGACTGCTAATTTCCTGCACCTCATGCGCCATCATTCCTGTTTCTTAAGAGACAGACAGTGCAGAATGATCCCAAGGGCGTCAGATGGAATGCTTGGAAGATAAGAACTAGCAATGAAAATTCTCTTTCTTTGGCTTTTTGAAAACCTTTTCATCTAGTGGTTCATGAATATAAGCATATAAACCCTTCACACTGTTACAGACTAGGAGCTACCTATCAAAGCAAAAGAAAACAAGTGGTTTGCTCTTAGGAAATCTTAGATCTTTTAAAAATCAACTGTGTAAAGAACCTTAAAGATTAGAAAATATTGATCTAAACCCCAGAGATATCGTCATATGATGAGAACATCTTAGAATTTAGAACTCATTTCTATTGATACCACCTCATAATCCTATTTATTACTTTCAGTAACGACTATATTTAACCATTATCATCATATTCATCTCTAACATCCCTGGATTTTTACGAGGCCCATTAACTACTACCTTCCTCTGTGATTTATGACCCTGGACCCCTTTGTCACCATTAACTTAGCAGTTTCTTCCAATCTTACTTGATTGCCTGGACAACACATGTCTCTGTTTGTTTGGTCCCCCCTCCCCCCAACAGGAAAGGAAAAACAAGATGCTTCGGAAGGAAATGGAGATGCTATGGAACAAGGTGTGCCTCTAAGGATCTCTTTAAAGCACTGTCCTGCAGACCGTAATGCAAAGGCCCTCCCATTCATCCAGCCCTGTCCTCATTTTGTCATGTCCTTGCTTCTGTCCGTGCCTCATTCCAATGCATCCCTTCCACAGCATCCAAACCAAACAACTGAAGCCTGTCACTTTTCTTATGAAAACCCTTCACAGCCCTCCTTACTGTGGCATAATCCAGCTCATGGCCACCTTTCCAGTCTCCTATCATAGAAGTCCTCCCCTTGCTTCCTATGAAACCACCACATTGGCCTCCTTGTGAATTCGAAAACACACCAAGCCTTTTCCTATCACAAGGCCTCTGTTTTTGCTTTATCTCTACCTGTAATACTGTTTTCTCACAGCTGGTTTGTTCTCAACCTTCAGGTCTCCACTTAAACATCTCTGCATAGAGGGCCTTTTTGTTTACTCCAGGTTATAAAGTCTTAAATAAGCACCCTCCTAGTTTCCATTATACAACTCTGGCCATGTCATCCATTGCACTTTCCATAATACAAACTTATTTTTATTTTTAAAGAATATGTATGTATATATATATATATATATATATATATATTTTTTTTTTTTTTCCTGCCCCTGTTCCCCCTTCTGAGATACAAGCTTCTCCTGCATCTTGGTTGCTCTGTTTGAATCCCTAACATCTGTCACAATGCTTGAACGTAGTAGAGAATCAATAAATGTAAGTTGAATAAGTGAACAAACAAATGCCTAATTCTAATGCTTAATTCAATAATTTCACAACAACCACTGCTTTATGATGACAAGCCTAGGGCTTTGTGTTTTGGCTCAGAAACCAGGAAAAGGAATTCCTCTGTGGACTAGCCCCTGGCACCCAAGTGCTTTCTCATGGGCTATGCAACTAGAAGAGCAGATTGTGTCTTGCAATGTAAACAGGTGATATATATATGATCTCTGGCTGCTTTTTTTCATCTCACCTTTCCAGAAATAAGCAGGAGACCTCCAAGTCTTACATCTTATGCTGAGATCTGCTCCTTGTTCTCAGCTGCAGCTCCAGATCATCTATGTGAACTATCAGAAGCACTAGTTCCTGAGTTCTTGAGAACTTATGACAGGAAATCCAGTGTGATCCAGCTTTGCCAGAGCTCCCAAACTACTGTTTATGAAGGATACCCACACAGCTTAGCTTGTGATTGACTTTCTCATTCTTTTATTTTATTTTATTTTATTTTATTTGTGAGACAGGATCTCACTATGTACCTCAGGCCAGGGCTGAACTATGTAGCCCAGGCGACCTGGGAGCTGGCAGCAAACCTCCTGCCTTCTGAGTGCTACAATTACCAGTGTATGCTGTCACATCTGGCTCACACTACCCACTCTTAGACAAGCAGAAATGGAAAAGAACAGCAAGGACAGTGGCTAGGAATATAGGTTTTAGGGCCAGAAAGAGCTGGTTAAACTCTAAGTCTGTCACTGTATAATCCTAAACAAATGATTTACCTTCTCCAAGTCTCAATTTTCTCACCTGTAAAAGGAAACTAAAAGTAGTTCTCAAAGAAGTGTACAAATAAGATGAAACGATTATAATGTAGTAAAACAGTGTAAGTAATATAGTAAGTAGCTTAATGATTGACATGTACTAAGGGTTCAATGAATAGTTTTTATTATTGTAAGGTACACCTATGGTACCAAAGGGAACGGCTCCTTATATTCTGAATCCCCTTTGGTAGGTAGTACAACTTCCATGTTGGCCTTGAGAAGTCGCCAACTGGCAGGAACCAAGAACCTTGACTCATACTGGTGTTTCATTTCTCTCATTAATTCCGCTAGTTTAAAGATTTGCCAAAATTTCTCTCCACAGGCCTTTGAGACAGAAGAACTTCGTGATCAACAAAAAGCACCACAGATAAAAACCACAGCAGACTTGCAGGATAGAAAGGCAAGTGGACTGCATGTCCTCGGAATGCCAAGTACAGGAAACAGCCTGTTGATAACCAAGCCCAGTCTGGGTAGACAGATAGGCAGGATCCAGGCTTCTGGGATTTGTTTGATTTATGGTTTCCCAAGAAAATGCACTTTTTTTCATGGGATCCCCTATTCTTTAAGGTCGCTACTTTCATCCCAGGTTCCTAAATCTCCCTTAGCATCTAAAAAGCCAAAAATGAACTAGAGATATCATTTGCAGAGAAAGTGAAAGAGATATGGAAGATAGTGCTTTTTTTGGGACTGATAAATTAGATATATTTAGCTATGGTATACTCCTGAACCAATCAGATTTTTATAAGCAGTTTGGTTCCCCTGGAATATGATATCTGAACTTGAGTGACATCACAAGTTTCTGGGAAATTTTAGCTAGGACGAAGTTAGAAAAGCTATACCAACAATAATAGCTCCACAGTAGCTATGTAGTATCAGAACACTTGTTAATTTGCCCTGGAAAATTTACTTGGGGGTATTATATTTGCATCTCATTTCCCCATAACTATCTTATTCACAGAAAATGGTCCGTTCATTTACCTTTCAGCTTTGAGAGAGTGGATAGCACAGAGGAGGCAAATTAAGACAATTTTGAATCTAATAGTGAATCTATGACAGCATAATTTCACTATAAGGTTACTGGAGAAAATTGAGAAAACTAATGTTTTTTATCTCAATTTACTTTATCACCCAGAGGCTCTTTCTTCCATCAGGAAAAGAAACAGAGGAAAATGGAATGGGTCAAGTATCAGGAACAAGCCAACACCCTTCAGGTATTAAGGTCTTCCAAGGCTGGACATAGGACACAATTTTGCTTATATAATACAGTGTCTTTTAACTTAAACCCAATCCCCTCATCCTGGGTTACAAGCTGTACTGCTAAAAGAAATATATCCCCAGAAGATGGTTTAAGTGATCTATCTCTAGCTTTATGTTGAATTACTTGGAATAAATAGTATTTGTTCCAATGTCCTTGATTTTGTTCTATTTGAAACAGGGCGGGGTGTGTGTGTTGAGGGGAGGTACTGCTCAGCTTTAAAAGATTGACCATGAGGGGTCATGGACTTTTAAACTTCTGCCTAACAACCATTCAGGTAACAATGGCTTTAGAGAAGCCAATAGTATATGAGCAGTTTTGAAAAAATGTCCTCTTTCAGAATGACTTTCATGGAAAAGTGATTGAATTGAGAATTGATGCCTTGAAGAACTATCAGAAGGCTAGTGACCTGAAATTATCACTGTACTTACAGCAGAATTTTGAGCCAAAGCAAGCATTATTAAATCTTCCAAGGTCCCAAGGTAAGTAGAGTATCATAGGTACACAGTTTTAGGTTCTGCTTTGTTTGTAAACATTGGATAATCCATTGCTTGTAAAGTAATACAATGCCTAGCACACAGAAAGTTAAATGTTAGTGGTGTAATAATAAAATTTTTCATGACTATGATTAGTAGTAGTCAGAAGCTTTTGTACTAAGGTAATTTCCTTCTAGGCATACCTTTGTAAAGATAAAGTAATATATCAGATACTTAGTATATATAAATGATAACAGTTGACACTTGATAAAATATTAGTTTCATCCCATCTTTCCATTTTTCTATGAATTAGAATTGTTTCATTTCATGAATCTTGTAGTAGTAGACTCTACTGCTTCAGAGCAGAAGATTAAGGGGACAGACATCAAATTGGACAGCAGAAAGCTAGAAAGCAAAAACCTGGAATGCAACCAGAAGCAGTATAAAGTCATTAAGGTACAAATTAAAAAGATAGAGGGAAGGAGTGTTACGAAGAGGACAGAAAGATTCTTAGCTTATCTCATTAAAAAAACGAGCTAAAGTTATCCAAAGGGACCCATATAAAAATCCAAAAGTTTAAAAAAAATTTTTTTTTAATTTTTTGTTTTTTTTCCGGTACCAGGAATCAAACTCACTTCCACTTGCCAGGCAGGCACTGTGCCGCTGAGCTAAATCCCCAGCCCCCAAAGAAAGAAGAACTAAATTCTAGATTCAAACCCAGCTTAGTATATAACGAAGGATTCCATTCAATTTGAGCACATTGGCAGGTTTTTTCCCCCCTGCTTGCAGAACACTGAATTAATTTTAACTGAGGTGATCCATCCACGGATCAACACCTTCCTGTCCTTCTCTTCTCTTCTAATCCTAAAGAAATAAAAGATAGAGCACTACCTCGTGCACACCTATAGTCCCAGCACTCTGGGAAGCTGAGGTGGTAGGATCACAAGACTCAACAAGACACTGTCTCAAAATAAAAAAGAAAAAGGACTGTAGATGGGAATGTAGATCGATCCAAAGGTCCTTAGTTCAATCTCTAGTACAAGAAAAATAAATTAATAAAAGAAAACAAAATAAGAAGAAAGAGAAAGGAAGAGAGGATGCAATACTGTTCAGTTACCACAGTTACGCCACAGGCATAACTGACCCACTGGCTCCATCTTTTATTATGCATTCCCTGGGCATTGCTCATAGGCCAACTTCATTTTCTAAGACATATATTCAAAATTTCAGGGTTTGTTTGAGCCCAAGTGTATCTGCAATCTAACAGAGTGCTAAATATGTGTTTATTTATAATCTCTAGAGTTTGATTAATAAAACAAAAGAAATATTAGCTACCATCATGGAAGAATTTTAAAAGAAACCATATTGAGAGATTATTATCAACAGTGACATGAGAGACACACTGGGATTTGGTGGTGCTTAGTGTTTCTCAACTTTATATGTTGCTTGGACTATTGTTTTTTTAAATTTTTGCTCTTTAGAGTAACTTCTTTTTTCATAAATGTATTCCTTGAAAATAAAATGTGCATTACTATTCTAAATGAAAAACCAGTACAGCTTCCCATAGTAAAGGATAAACTTAATAAGTATATAAAAATGAAAGTTTTAGTGTTCTAACAAGAAAGTCAAAGCTGGGGCCTGTTTTACTTTTGAAAATGAGATGCAAAACAATTTTAAAGAAAATGAGCATCAAATTGGTACTTTCTCCTTGATGCCATCAAATTTTAAAAGTACTGACAAGGGAATCTCTGTGATTTATAGTATTGAACAGTTTCAGCACTACCTCAATTTATCCTAGTTGCACCTAAAATCATCTCACCATCATATTTTGAGATGTTATAATTTAATGAAAAAAGCACTAGGTTTAGAGTCAGATGTATGAGTCGCAGGCCCTGCTCTGAGAGCTACCAATTATATGACCTGATAAAGTCATTTATTTTCAAGTTTTTCTATGTCTAAAACAACCACAGTATTTTATAGAGCATGTTAAAAACTTCTCCCTTTTTGTAACTTTTACCGTGATTCTATGCAACGCAAATTATAGAAGAAGAAGCAAAGTCACAGCGGGTAGGCTTCTTATACCATAGGCAAAGCTGTTATTCTAGACTATGCTATACATGGCAGTGTTAAAGTACATGATTCCTCATGCCTTTTCCAGCCCTACGAGCTATGATTTATATCCAAACTTATCAGCTATTGAAGGTATTATCCGCTGCTCATGAAGAATGATAATTCCCTCCCCAAAGGTTGTACTTTGTTCTATAGAGAAGAAAACATGGTTACAAAATGGGGTGATAGATGTAATTCCGCATTTCTCCCAGTAGGTGGCACCAACCACATCTAGGCTTCAAGTCCACCTTAAAAAGGTAATTCAAGAACCCTGAAGGGGCTGTGGAACAGATTAAAATTCCTGTTACCCTTAGGTCAAAATGTGCCGCCTCTACATACCAAATTTAAAAAGCAAAAAACCACCTGTGTATGTCTGTGTCATGATCTATGGAACCAAGATATATTACTGACAGCCTTGATTAAATCACATTAAAATTAATATTCTACCATACAATCCTTACCTATTATTCTACTCCCTGAATTTCAGGACTCTCCACTCCAAATCGCGGTCATGCACCATTTCCTCCTCAACTCTTATGTAACACTGTTTCTCTCCACCATAGATAAGCTGGGTGATTAGGACACTTAAGTAAAAAACAGGAAATTGCACAGGGATTATTTAAGTACTTAATAGTCCTCCAATTGTCTTTTTTTTTTTTTAAATTTCAATAGAACTGAATTAATAAACCTGTCTTAGAGAGAAGGTGCTATGCAATTTTGGACACACTTACCAGCAAATCAGTGTACAGGCCCTTTCGTTCTAGACATTTCCCTGTAGAGGGAGGTTTTACCCTACTGCTCTTGGCCAAGAATCCCTCCTCCCTGTCCAATGTGCTGGTTGGCTGAGTTGCAGTGGTGTGATCTACTTGTCTGGCAAATATTACTGCCTCTGTTATAATTCAAGCAAGCTCTACTTAAGAATTCTCTTTGGGTCTGGATGTAGCATTACTATTGTGAGTCTTGTCTGCTGAGCATATCCGCATCACCTAGTTTTCTAAAAGGAGGAAATGCTTTTTTTTTTTTTTTTTTTGTTTTTTCTCTGGTACCGGGAACTGAACTCACGACCTTGCGCTTGCCAGGCAGGAGCTTTGCCGCTGAGCTAAATCCCCAGCCCCGGAAATGCTTTTTTGTTGTTTACACCGAGGGAGAAATCTTTCTTTTAGGTCTTTCCAGAGACAGGTCACACTTAAGGAGATTTACTTTTCCTACCAGTTTAAAATTATAATTTGACTCAGGGTGTACAGCAGGTTCTTCCTGGCTTTTGTAGGATCAAGAGAGCAGTCTGCGGCCTTCAGCAGTCACCTATCTTAACACATGCACCAAGCAATCTCTAAATCCAGCTGGATTTTCCAATATATCTACTGGTGTATAAAGATCAAATTTAACTGCAATAGTAATATAATTTGTGATAAGACATTCGATTTTGACAACATTTTCTCTTCTCTATCCCCAACTCTTTGGCGTTTTCTTCAGCTCCTTGAAAAGAAACAGCGAGTTCTTCATTGAGAAGAACCCGAGGGTTGTGTGTGGATATTCTGTTTCACTTAGCAATTCAGATGAAAGCCCTTGAGACAGGAAATGAATACTCTTGACGTCTTAGTTACTCAATAATCCTCTGCTCTGAAAGGAAGTCACTCTTCCTACCTTTCACCTTGACTTCTTTACTATTACTCTTCCTGGTGGCTACAATACACTTTAGCAGATGCTTCTGAATAGGGTTAAACTACAATGTCGAAAGGCAGGGGCAGAAAACCACAGCTACCTTAACTCTGGGTCCTTAATAAGTAGTTTTGCTCTCAAGTACAGGCTTTTATGTTTTTAGGCAACCTGAACCTATTGAATGTTTAAGTCAGTTTGTAGGATTAGTAGGTTATGAGGCTAATTCTGAAGCTAGGTCATTCTTTTGCTTCTCAAAAGCCTCACACAAGTCCAGGGGGAGAATAGAATCCTTTTTTCTCCTAAATATACATTTTGAAGCTTTAAAAATCTGTACTGCATCCTCATTAATATCAGAATTATTTTAGTGGGGTCACAATAGATTCAATTTCTTTGCATTGCACACTCAGGACAGCAGCAAGATGTCTAGGATGGGGTGGTCATATTTAATAAAAAGATATTTGGTTAAAGTTTTATTTCAGATAAACAATAGTTTTAGTGTCAATGTGTCCCGAATATTGCATGGGGCGAACTGATACTGAAAATGACTGGTGTTTATTAAATTTTGAATTCAATTATCTTATATTTTAGTCTGGCAACTGTAGCCTAGGCTGTGGGGTCTACATAGCACCTTACAATACTCCCTTATTCCCTCTTTTATCATCTCCTTTCTCCCTCTTAGCCTGTGCCCTATCTTTCTCCCTGTCTCCCCTATCTCTTCCCCCATCCTCACCCTTATCTTCATCTTTTGCTTTCTACTAATCAGAATTGATCTTTTGTATTGAACAGAGGTCTGGCTTATCTCAGTGTGTATATATGTGCATACTTTATCATTTCACTTCCTCACCTAAGTGCTATAGTAGAAGTACATTTTGTACACTCTTAAATTGTTTTCATTTACCCGTAGTGCTCAAATGATCCTGCCCACAAGGGCATAAGTTTTCAACAGCAAATAAAAGGACCACCACTCCAACTTTTTTTTTTTTTTTTTGTGGTACTGGCAATTGCACTCATGAGCTCCTGCTTGCCAGGTAGGCGCTGTGCCACTGAGTTATATCCCCAGCCCCCAACTTTAAAATGATGCTTGATTTTCTAAAACAAGTAGAAAATTTGTATGAGTCTTTCCTACAATAAGAAAATTACATACTATGATGGATGTTAGGTTTTTTTATTTTAAAGAGAATAAAAAAGCATTAAAGGGGCTGGGGATTTAGCTCAGTAGCACAGCACCTGCCTGGCAAGTGCAAGGTCGTCAGTTCGATTCCCAGTACCTGAAAAAAAAAACAACCCCCCCCACAAAAAACCATTAAAAATGATATAGAATTTCAAAACAAAACAATAGGAAATTAACAATGGTTATTACACTGCATATTGTTATCTTCAAAGTAGTTGCTCAGATTACCAGATACAGGCATGCAAAATTGATCAAACAACATAAGCACTGTTCTTTTCAATGAATAGAAATTAATAGTACAATTATCCTAGCTGTCTTATATATATATATATATATATATATATAATTTTTTCCCTTCCTTCTTTTCTCCTTTCCCCCATCTTACTTGTTCCTTCCTTTTGAGCAGTTTCTTTCCCTTTCACAATATCTATTGTACCTTTTGGACCTTATTTACTCTTTCAGTTTCTTACATTAGGAAAACAATACTATGTTTACACATGCGGATCTGATTTGTTTTACTTATGAGTATGGTCTCTAGTTGCATCCATTTACCTGTAAAAGCCTTGAGTTTATCTTTCCTTGTAGCTGAATAGTTGATGCTAGTAATTTTGCAACTCAATCTAGATTTTTTTCTCAAAAGAAGCTCTTATTTTCCTAATGTTTTCCATCAGGTACTATGGATACCACAACTATGGGCAAAACAACTTCTGATAGAAATAAACCAAATGTGGTAAGGATGACTTTCTGTTCTAAAATTCCCTATTTTAAAGGATTAAATAGATAATTGATATCGGTTTTTATAATGTGTGTGTGTGTGTGTGTGTGTGTGTGTGTTTTGGTAGAGTTGGGGATTGCTAATGAGTCTAGGCAAGCCAGGGCCATGCTAGACAAAGAGTTTTACTAGAGCTATTTTCCCCAAAACAAGACCTAATCTGGGGCTGGGGATTTAGCTCAGCAGCACAGCGCCTGTCTGGCAAGCAGAAGGTCGTGAGTTCGATTCCCGGTACCGGGGGGAGGGGGAAAATAATTAGCCTTGAAAACTAGAGATTAAAAATTCCAGCCACAATCAGTCTATCTTTGCCTTACCTGCCTTACAGAGTAGCCACCAACCAAGAGAATAGTGATGACACATGAGGCAAGAATAGGCTGATTGAGGCTGGCATTTTTGACCTTGAGTTTTTCAAGGTTGATTATTTTCCAGCTAGGTCTTTTTTGGGGAGTTGTTAACATGCATTCTAATTTAATAATTTTTAGAAAACCTACACTCACTGCTTGAGCAGTCTTTTTCCTTTTTTCTCTCTTAGAGAATTCTGGAATCAAAAACTTGCACAGAACAGCAAGGAGCTAAAGAAAGTCAGTGTGATGATATACGAGGGAGACTCCTTTTGCTGAGGTCCCTGTCAGAAGAAACTCAGAAGGATTAGAAGGCTTTTACTCCATTTGCTTTGGACAGATTTAAAGACTAGGCACAGACATTTGTGTTCATTAAAATCTCTCAAACCTTTGTCTGAGTGCTGTCTTCCCCTCTCTCCCCCACCAATCTGGGTGGAAATGCTAGATGGTTGGCCTTAAGCCAATGGAGGGAGTTTAGTCATTTAGGGATTGTAAACAGCCTCTGATTATTTGGTTCACCCTTGGATTTGAGATGACTAGATTCAAAACACACTGCATGCAGTTAAATTTATGAACAGGAGTTCTTCTTTACCTATGAAGTATTTAACCTGGGGCAGATTCACTGCTGGCAAATTAGTATCCACGAAATAAAGAAAATTATATTCCCTAGCTGGCCCTACTCTCACCAACCATATCCACTTGCCCTGCTGATTCCACCTTCTTGCAATTTATTCCTTGAGTATTTTCCACCTTTCCAGGGCCACTGTTGTAGCTCAGGCCCTCTTTTTTTGGCCTGCATTACCATAGCCTTTGAAGTTGTCTCCTTGCTTCCAGGCCCCCTAATCCATCTTCTGCAGTACTCCTGAGCATAATATTTTAGAAAGAAGAACCTGTCACTCCCCTAATGGTTTTTCACTGACTTTATTATAAAGTCTAAATTCCTCGACAGACCATACATGATCTGCCTCCTGCCTACTTCCATTGTCCCCCTTCCTTCATATACTCTGCACTGAGGTCTATAGACGTACAGCTCCCCTGAAGTACCATGATTTTTATTATCTCCATGCACAAAGCTGATTCTTGTCTCCTTGCCTGTTTGTCTACTGTCTATTTTTCTTAAGGATTGAATTTAGTGCTCTTCTATCCCAGTTACTCCCAATTTTGTGTATTAAAATCCCCTCGTGAGCTTTAAAAAATAGCATTTCACTGGGTCCCTCCCTAGATCATTTAAATCATGATCTCTAAGGGACAAGGATCTGTAGTTTTTAAAAGCTTCCCAGGAAATTCTAATATGAGCTAGGTTTGGGGGTCACTGCTCTAAGCTCTTTTCTATCATAGCACTTAAGTGCAATTTTCAATGTACTCAGCTCTGCCCCTCACCAGATGGTGAGCTCTTTGAGGCACAAGACTATGTCTTGTTTATCTTTTTATTTTAACCAATGAACCCCAAGCTTGGGGATTTAGCAGAGGCTTGGTAAACAATATTCAGTAAGATATTTAATTGGTGAATCTGTTTTCATGCACTGTCTTATATAAAATACTGGATTATATTATCATTCCTGAGATCTCCTTTTACTCTGATTAAGCTGTCTTAAATTTTCGATCTCATGTCAGTATGGGGAAATTTGTCAAAAATTCTTCATTATCCTTAGAAATCCCTTTTCCTTATTCCTTCTCATTTTGGTAATGTGCAAAGTAAATCAAATTCAAAAACTTTTTGCCCCCATAGTTCAATTTAAAACCTTAATGTGCATTTTAAGGATAAATCTTTTAAGTGTCGCTTTTGACTGGAGAAAGTTTATAGGAATCACAGAATTTTATCATTAGAAGGAACTTTACGTAAGTAAAAAGCTCTTTCACTTTACAAAAGAAGAAACTAGAGGTCAGTTACATTGAAAAGGTGTTCCAAGTCCCATAGGTAATTTGAGTCAGAACTAGTTACCAAAGTCTGAGAATTACTACTACTATTCCAGTCTAACTCATCTCTTTCTTCTCCTGACCACAAAAATAACAATCTCCAAAGCCCTGAGATATTAGTTCTCAGCTGTTACCTGAGCATGTAACCCATATTGTTTCAAGAGCCACCTCTGTAGAGAAGACCCTGGGAGACTTCCGACAGTCCTGAGATTTTCCAAATCAACTTAAGTAGACAAAGAGATGACAACAAAAGGAAGGAATATAAAGTTCATTCTACTCACTATCTTGAACTAGTTGCTTAACATAGGGCCTTAGATTCCCAATTTAAGATTAGATTTAAGAGCCCCATTTAAAAGTTTTAAAAAATGTTTAACCACTACAATGGGTTTAGATTAGTATATAATACCCATTCTTTGTTGTTGTCAAATAGAGCGTGAAATAAGCTAGTTTACTTGCTACCAGAGGTTTGTAATTCCTTTAAAAATGAATATGTTATCCCATTATGGTTTGTATCCAGATGTGCTTAAAGGTGGGGGCGTTTGTTGGTGGCTGGATCTAGGGTGTGTGAATATGGAATAAAGGTGTGTGGCTTGTAGCTTGGAGGTTCACTGCTGCTGGCTGCCTCATGCCTGCCATGCCATGGACTCATTCCCCTCTGCCCTGCCCCTCTGCCACGCTGCCCTGTCCTGGAACTAGCTATGGACTGAAACCTCTACAAGCTGTAAGCTATAGTAAACCTTCCCTCCTTTAACTTATAAGAGTGCGGTGTGGTGTCTCAGCGGCGAGAAAAGACATCCCCGAAGTATAGAAATAATAAGTTCACTATCAGTCAGGTTTTACTATCTTTCCTTCAAATGTACCAAACCCTTCAATTTCTTGAAAACACAAAACTGAAATATTATAGCCTTTGATCACATTAGAGTAATGCAAAACTGTCATTTAGACTGGCTGGCTATTTGCCAAGCAGGAGTATAGTCTGGATCTCACATTTTTGGGTAAAGATTTGGTCAATTTATCCAAATAATCTGCAACTACTCAAGCTACTTAATTGATAAACCAAAAATGAAAATTTGAAAAGTGTGTGTGTGTGTGTGTGTGGGGGGGTGTCTTGCTGTTCCCCAGGCTGGCCTGGAATTTGCGATCCTTTTGTTTCAGCCTCCTGAGTAGCTTGATAAACCAAATGCTAATTTAAACTACAGAAAGGGTTATAACTTCCACTTTGGTCAGAACATGTTTGCATTTAAGGCACCTCCATCTCTAAAATAAAGTTACAGGGAACTAAATCAGTAAGCACAAAGTATTTGGGGCTGAAGTATCATTACAGTGGTACCTTGGTTTAAGAATTTCATTCATTCCATGATTCTGGGGAAGATGGCTGTGTCTGTGTTGCTCATCTATGCAGAGCTTGCAAATGGAAGCAAAATTTTGCTAGCTGCTCTGTTCACAAACCGAACTGTTTGCAAGCAGAACCATTCACGAACTGAGGTATTGCTTTATTACAGTTTTACTTGCATTCACAGTACTCCAATAACATTTCTCTGAGAATAAAATCCCTGATATCCCTGACTATACTTTGTAATTTCAAGGCCAAGTGAGGAAAAATGCTATCATATTAGTAATATTTTCATAAACCATAACTCTGGGTGATACTATCTTTGTGGCTTATCTTATTTATATCATCTTGGGTTTCTAGCTACTCAGAGAGTATTTGTTAATACCTCACCTCCAAATGTTGTATTTTTACAATGACCACAGAGTGATTAGGAAATTGTTTTGCTTTCTTAAATGAAATAAGGCCAACAGCAACCTGATGGGACCACAATCTTCAAAGAGAGAAAGTCACAGTCTATAGCATTTTTGCCTTATATTCTTAGATCTAGGTATAAAATCCAGTTTTGGTACCATTTGTGTGAACGATAGCCATCTTAGTGTCTTATTTTATAGGTAGATACTTCTACAATCTGTCATGTGCCCAGGCAAATTTCTAGCATGCATTCTGATATCCCAGGAGAAGCCTGTATTGGTTCTAATTCAAAGACCCTACTAGTTCAAAGGTTCTCCACTCAGTCATCAAACATAAGGAAATAGGAAAAGAAAAATATTCTATAAAAGGAAGACTTACTCTCTAATCAATCTCACAGGAAAGATGCTCAAGCATACATATATAAAACTTGGTAAATGGGAATAAGCAGGACAAACAAAAAAATCGACCTTCTCTGTTTCTTTCAAAATGCACTTATGTTCCCCTTAATATTGAAAACTTTTACTTAAGGTTCATTTTAAGCAGAAAATACAATATAAATGTTCCTATACTCCATATTTTCTCCAGTTATTAACCTATACTGTAGATGAGATTACTTAGTGTGTTAGCGTGTTTCTTCTCATTGAGAAATGTCTGACACAACTGAAAGGAGAAGAGATTTAATTTGGCTCACAGCTTCTGAGGATAGAGCCCATGGTTAGGCTGACCCCAAGACAAAAACAACTTGGTAGAAAGCAAGTTTTCTGTGGCACAGCAAAGACGCTTAGTTCTCAATGCCTGGGCCATGCTTTCATGATCTGCCCAGACCTACTCAGAGGTATGCTCAACCAATTGCCTGCATAGATCTCAAAGCCAATCATATTGACACACCACCCTGACTGCCACACTTAGGATAAGAAAATCATTTTATTTCTGCATACTGCTTTTAAAGAGAAAACATGTCTCTGGGAAAGGAAGACTAATAAGGTGGTTACATGGAAACCAATTACTGTAATAATTAAAAAGAAAAACATGATGCTTTCAATTTTTTAAAAAGTTTACTTAAAGTCAATCCATATCAGTTTTTACAATTTGGACTTTTATAGTGCATCACATATATATATATTTGAATGTCCATTCTGAAGGCATTGTAGGTAGAACCTTTTAAAGAAATTGAACAGAAATAGCAATAAAACATTAGCAATGTGGTAGATTAACTAATGGTCAGTTGTAACACCCAGCTGAACTGAATCAGC